CAGGTACGTAAGACAATGCACATACTCCACATTTAAAAATTTTCCCTCCATTGAAGCTTTCTTAATACACCTCACCATTTTCCTTGCTTTTCCTCATGTATTCCACTAATTTAAGTTAAGGAGTGCTTCTTAAAAACCAACTCTGGCATCCCTTATTGTGCTTTTTAGTTACAGGTTTAAGCTATACAACCTTTAACAACTTCACACAAACTTTCTCTAACTAACACTACGTTTGGATTGAAATGAAGGAAAGAAAAGGAAAAAAAATGAAAATAAAAGAAGTAATGGAGATAGAAAAACCATTTTTTTTGTTTGAATAAACTTTTAATTTAAAGGAAAGAAAAAAGGTAGAAACTCAATAACTTTTGATTTCTCTTGTAATCCTAATTTTTTTTAATATCTCAATTTAGGAGAAAAGCTAAGGAAAGGAAAGTTCAAAAAATTTTATTTTTATAAAAAGACTATTATATCTATGTTTTTATTATGACATTAGATTTGATTATATAATTAGCACTTTCTACAAAAATAATTTCTTTTTTTGAGTATTTTATGCAATATCACAGTTTATAAATATTTTATGATTTTTTAAATCTTAATAACAAAATAAGCCAAATTATTGTCAGAATAAATTAAAAGATTGAATTAAACACAAAATTAAGAGTAAATAAATAACTAGCTAATATATCTTATCCTATTAAACATGCTCAATTTTGTTTAAAAAGATTTATTTATACAAGCTAGGTAGTATAAAGATATATTTGTATATTATATGTTACTTTATAAAAAAATGTTATAATTGAAAAAATATTATAATAAATTATTTCTTTTCCTTTTCACTATTTATCCAAATAATAGTTATCAGAATTTTTTTTTCTTTTCTTTCTTTTATTAATTTTAACTATCCAAATAGGAATACATATACTATTTTCTTTCCTTAAAATTTTTTTTTCCTTTATTTTATTAATATCTATCCAAATATAGCATAAAACATAAAAAATACTATCAACATTATTGATGATATATATGAACTAATATTCCATATATAAATATCTTTTGAGTTAAAGACTAAACTACATTTACTCCTATTTAAAAATTTGAAATTAGAAATATTTAATTTTTTTATCGTCATAAAATGATATAATATATTATTACAATTTGATATTGTATTTTAAGGATGTTAGTTCAGATTCTTAAATATAAATAAGTAAAATTACATGACAAAAAAGTTATTATCCTAATTACATAACTCAAGGATTAAAAGGGTTATAATTAATTTTTTTATTTAATAAGAGATAAGAGATGAGAATATATAGTGAAGTTCGAACTTTCTTCTTTCATTTAAAAATTTTTTTTGTCATTATATAAAAAAAATTGAAAACCAACTAATTATTAATTAGATGAAATATATGTTGATTAAATTTTTAAAATTTATGAATTTAAAATAAATTGAGACATATAATGTTTTTCTAGTGGCATTAAATAAGTAAGAATAGAGAATTAAATGTGAACAATAGTTAAAAAAAATTAAAAAACTTAACGTAAGCACGCTAAAATTAAATGAAATGTTATTAATTACAAAATTAAATTCAGATTTACTTTACCTAACCAAAATCAATGTATGGTAAAAAAAGAACAAATCCAACATAAACTAATAAAAAAAATTGGCCACTGAAAAGTCCAGTTCCAGACTTCCAATTGCCAAATCAGACGGTCTTATAGCCATTTCTAAACAGTGTTGTTTACTAGAGCGTGAACATTTCACAAGCACTTTTACCGGCAATTACCGGTAAACTTAACCCATCTCCTTTTTTGTTCTTACATAGGAGCGAGAAAGACATGATTATAGTAAGCCTGTTATCACAATAAGTTTTTGTTTTTATTTTTTTTAAAGTCTTTTTCTTCTCACTCTATAAATATCATATCCCCACGATCTTCTAAATTTTTTTTGCCTCTTCTTCCTCTTATTTTCTCTCTATATCTTTTCGACCATTTTTCGACGAAATCGTCGGTCGTTATTCTCTCTTGGGGTTACCGGAGAATTCACTTTCTTCGACATTTTTGCTTTCTTAAGGGTTTGCCTTTTTATTTATATAAAGCTCTTTCTTTTTTTTTCGGTGTCTGGGTGTTTTGATTAATTTGTTTGATGTCTTAGCTTGAGTTTCAGATCTGGGTTTTCTTTTTTTAGCTGGCTTGATTTCTATTATTTCTTTTGTTTTCTTTTTTGTTACACTCTGTTGGTTTTTTCTTAGTATGTATCTTGATCTGTTCTCTTTTTTTTTTTATCTTGATTTATTTTTTCTTATAATGCAGTAAATTTCTTAAAAATTTACAAAATAAATAATTTTTTAAAAACTTGCAAATAGAAAATTACATATATATAAATATAATGATGATGATTGACGTTAGTTGTTGGAAAATTCCATCTTATCCTTCAACCATTTTGGTAATGTATGAGTAAAAGTTTTGGTTTTAAATTTATTTTTGTTTTCTTCTCCTTTACAAAAAGGAAAAAGGTTGTTGAATGGATAACAAGGCAAGGCTTTTATTTCATCAGCTTTATAAGTAGTCTTAGCATTTCAGTTCTGATATTAAGCATGTTTATTGCTCTTCTGGGGTTTATGCTTTGTTGTTATACAAAATATTTGGGGCTCTAATTCTTTGTTTTTGTTTTTTTTTGAACTGTAGATCTCTTTTTCTGAAACTTGAAACTTTTGTTTTTGTCCATTAAAGACAAAGAAATGTATAGGACTAAAGAGGTGGAACATAGAAATGTGAGCTCAACTTGCTCAATCTCCAAAATGGATGATTACGATCTCTCGCACCTCCTTGATAAGCCAAGGCTTAACATAGAGAGGCAAAGATCATTTGATGAGAGGTCAATCAGTGAGCTCCCTATTGGTCTCACAAGAGGGGGTTATGACAATTATGACCACGTACTTCCCCGATGGGAGGTCAGGTTTTGGTACTTCAGCTTCATCAGGTAGAAACTCTTTTGAGCCGCACCTCATGGTGGCTAAAGCATGGGAAGCTCTTAGGAGGTCTTTGGTGTATTTTCGAGGCCAACCAATTGGTACCATTGCCGCGTATGACCATGCATCTGAGGAAGTTTTGAACTATGATCAGGTAAAATTCTCATCTCATAGTATGAAGTAGGACTTTTTTTTGGTGATAATGAAATTATTATTGCATATGTGTAAATTATAAACTATGACATTGACATTTATTATTGATTATGATCATGTGTTGAGCATCAACCTATAATTAATTGGTGATGGATGGAAAGCTTGAACCAGAATAGAAGGACTAGCAAACTCTAAACTTAATTGAATGTAGGCAAACATCATTTAATACTAAATGTGGGCTAACATCATTTAATACTAAATACCTAGATCCAAGTTGGAGAACTTTGATTGGGTGAAACTTCAAGCCAAACCTGAACGAATTTTTATATGAATAGAGAATACTGATTGTCAAGGAAAAATGACATGGGGTCAGTCCGACACAGACATGACATCGACGTGGCGAATATGTGTCAGATGTCCTTGGACACACCAAACAAAAAAAAAAATAGACACGACAAGGGAACGGCAAGGACACGGCATGGAAAGTTTTTTTTGCTTAAATTTTTCTCTAAGAAGTGAGAATTGTAAAGTCCATCGAGAAATAAATCAGAAGTATAAAACCAAACAAGTGATAAATTTCATATCTAGATTGAAGCATCACCTTTTAATTTGTTGAAGGTTGAGGAAGATGAAAGATGGAGGAGATGATAATGCCATAAACTGAAGACTGTTAATTTGTTGAAGGTTAAAGAAGATGAAGGATAGAGGAGATGTCAAAGTCATAAAGGGAAGATTGGAGAAATATCCAGGGCATAGAGATATTCAATTTCTTCTTTATCTGTTGGTCTTTTTGCTTTCTTTAGTTGTTAGTTATTATAATATGATTTCTTTACTTATTATATTGGGCCATGAATGAAGAATGGACCCATTAAGAAAGGGCTTTTTATTTGGGCAGAAATAATATGGATAATGAAACTTATTTTAGATCATGTTTATATTGCATATTTTAATATAAGAAATATATAAAATATTTTTATTACCGTGTGTCCGTGTCCTACCATACTCATATCTTTAGTTTTTTAAAAATTACCGTGTCCATGTGTTATTGTACTGTTTTGCCTGTCCAGTGCTTCGTAGCTGATTGTAAAAAAGAGGTTTGGTAAGTTGTTTTTAATGTTGAAAATCCATTACCATCTGGTCAATTATGGCTCATGATTTGAAATTTTCTGAGACTGCTTTGATCATGTTTGATAATTTGCTCAGGTTTTTGTTCGAAATTTTGTACCCAGTGCTCCGGCTTTTCTGATGAATGGAGAGCCTAAGAACTTTCTCTTGAAAACCCTACATCTTCAAGGGTGGGGGAAAAGAATAGATAGATTCAAGCTAGGCGAAGGTGCAATGCCAGCTAGCTTCAAAGTTCTTCACGAGCCTGTACGTAAATCGGACACAATTATTGCAGATTTTGGAGAGAGTGCCATTGGAAGAGTTGCTCCGGTTGACTCTGGGTTTTGGTGGATCATTCTGCTCCGTTCACATACAAGATCTACTGGGGTTTATCTCTAGCTGAGACACCTGAGTGTCAAAAAGGGATGAGGCTCATACTTACTCTGTGTCTATCGGAAGAATTTGATACATTTCCAGCCCTACTTTGCGCTGATGGGTGCTCTATGATTGATCGAAGAATGGTAAGCTATTCTTCTAGTCTTAATCTTTCTCTCTATTTTGTGCATGTGTGTGTGCTCACCTGCTTCTATACGTAAGTTTCCTTGCTAATCTTATAGTTATTTTAATGTGAGACAAGCAAAGCATTGAGAAACTTAAAATATCAAACTCTATGAAAATTGGAATTTGGATATAAGATGGATTATTAATGGAAAACATAATGGCCAATAGTAATATATTATTACAGCTTAGTGACAGAATGGAGCAGCATGACCTTCAGAAATCTAGGTCCTTGTTCAATTCCTGATCAGCAACATATTGCCATAAATAAGTAGATTTTTGAATGCTCAGCTCCTCCACTCTAGCCTCTGCGTTTTTTCTCAAGTCATTAAGCGTCATCGCATATTCCAGCAGTTCCACCAGACCCATGTTCTCAATCGACTGATCCAACCAAAACCCACCACTAATATCTTCTTTAACTTCTTTCTGCTTTATCCATGAATAATTACCCTGACTAGATGACTCGGCTAGATATCGATCAAGAACTGCTTCCACATTATCGTTGGTTTATACTCTTCCAGATTTTGATAATGTGAGGATACCAACTTCTACCCCGCACAATGTGGAAAGCTCTTTAGCTTTATTGAACAACCCTCTTCTACGTTTGAAGAAAGTGACTTGACGTTTGCTTTCGTCTTCCAGTTTCTTGATTTCATTTCGTTGACGACCTCGGCTGCTTCTTGTTTTCTTCGCCTCTGTTGCGTTTGACATTAATACATTATCCTCCATGGTGAGAAAACAGAAAATTAGCCAAGGACACCAAAATTTGTACAGCACTTCTATCGTCTTTAGTGGTTGATAAACAAAGACTGAGCGCATGGGTTTATTTATACAGGTTTAACCAAGTAATAACCTAACTTGCATAATAAGAAATAATGTAGCTATGTGGTCGACTTGCCACTTTAATTTCTTTTTATAATGAGTACTGCTATTTTAAAAATTAGTTTCCCTATACATTTAAATTTTATGGATAGAAAAGATTTATGAATTTGTATTATTCTTCAAATCTTTATATTTTATTTTTACTCTTTAAAAAGTTTCATGTATTTTATTACAAACAAAAGCTTAATTTTTAAAAAAGAAATCATTTGGCTCAACTTATGAAAAATTATGAATTTTAAAAGTTTTTAACTTATGCAGGAAGCATATTGAGCTTTGAGAGGAATGTAAGCTATTTTTCTAATCTTAATCTTTCTCTTATTTTGTGCATATGTGTACTCACCTGCTTATAACGTAAGTTTCCTTGCCAATCTTATAGTTATTTTAATGTGAGACATGCAAAGCATTTGAGAACTTAAAATATCGAACTTTATGAAAATTGAAATTTGGGTATAAGATGGATTATTAATGGAACAAATAATGGCCAATAGTAATTTATTATTACAGCTTTGTGACAGAGAATGAAGCAGCATGACCGTTTAAAAATTTTGGTTCTCGGTTTTAATTTAGTAATATGCTGTTTCTACAAACATGATGTGAGTTATATTGATGGTTCAATTGATGTAATTTATATGTTTGTTTAGACCAACTTACTATTGATTTTATAGCCAATCTCCTAATGGTTTGGGAAGTCATTCAAGCAAATAAATTCAATTTTTTTCATATCATTAATATTATATGAATATTTGTGTGAAATCGTCATAGTTTACCAACAATACATTGTACGTCTCAATTGCTTTTTTGGCCTTGCGTAACTGTACAGGAGTAACGTTATCTGGTACAAATAAAATAGTTCTGGGAGAATCTTATTAGATATAATCTGATTTTAATAATTCTGACTTCTGAGAACCAAATCTTGCTGTACTGAACATAAATGAGTTCTTCGGCTTTGGGCCCATGTCTATTTCTATTAACTTTGTATGAAAAGCTATAAGGTCCATCTTGAGTTTTTACCGTAGGATCATATTGAGCATATGGCCCACCATCTGGTGGGACCATAGGTGGCTAATGACAGACAAAGTATGGTCCACTTCAGCTTTTCCATCTCCACCATAAAGTAGAACCAAATATATCAATACCGTATTGTTACTAAGAAATTGTAGGATCTAGTTAGTTTGTGTTTGTCTTTTTTACTTTCATGGATATGATTCTAATATCCCAAGTAAAAATTGATCGCAAGATCTCAAAAGTGCTGTAATATTCCCGTATACTAAAGTTTTGAATGACATTTCATGGCAGATGTGGGATGACCAGTGGAAAAGGAGCTACAGATAAATAATTTTGAATAGTTTGTGTAGCATTGTTTGCTAGGCTGTCACATGATAGAATAGACAAGAACAATGTGGCTTAGATGGTGGCGGTGATACAACTTCTGATTCTCGTTAGTTTATTATTCTAAGTCCAATTATATGTTTTAGAAATGAAACGATCTAAGAAAATGGTTCTTTTGGTTGACCGGATCCATATATTGATTGTAAGTGAAATATTAGTGAAGGTCTTCCTTCGTCCTCATCTGGTTAGTTCTAGAAAATATTTGTTAATAAACTCATTTTTAATGTTTGAGACAAACATGTTCTTTATGTGATTCTATAATGATGACACGACTTATGGGGTATTGTATGTTTTAGCCAAATGGGTTTCTCAGTTTTTGTCCACAAAAATGGCTTGTAAGTATTGTTACACTTAAGTCTCTATATATTTTATGTAGATCCTTACAAATTTCTAACGCGGAATTGAAGGTGTTACATATTCATCAAGACATGATTCGTATCTGAATTAGGAATCATATCTGCTATTGATTGTCAATTTAGGCAAGCACTTTTTTATTATTCTATTAATGTGGTTGCATTCATGCTTCCCTATAAATCTTTTAGCTATCCTTTCTCTATTTTTTTTATTAAAATGATCTTTCTACATTCTTCAAAACTTTCTTCTTACTTGATGACTTATGCTGATGAAATACTTAAGAAGTTAATTTGCGTTATGCACTTTATATTGACACATCATTTTGTTCGAAAATATTTTTTCGAAATTAAGCTTCAATCGTAATTGAAAGATTTTTTAGATTTAATTCCAAAATCAATTGACATTAAAAATGATGTGAAGAGATTGTCGAAATTTAATTCTATAATCAATTCACATTAAATTGATAGGGAGAGATTTTGGAATTTGATTTCAGAATCAATTTTCATTAAAACGAAAATAAATAAAATCAAAGATTTAAGGGAAATTGATTGAGTATGAATTCCTATATAAATATGTGATCAAAGCAAATGGGGATAGAGAGAAAAAGAGATTATGTAGAAACTCTTGAGAGAAAAGAGAAATTTTGTTTAGTAACTAAGAGGTTTTAGGTTCTGGATTTGATTTGTTTCGATTTTGTAGATTGAGATTTGGTGTTTTGAGTTTGAATTTCTGTAAGCTTCTGTATTTTAGGGATTCTTGGTTTTAGCTTTCTAGATAATTTGTTGGTTTTTGAAAATTCTCTATCAGCTTTGAGATTTATTTGTTCATTTCTGAGAATTAGTTAGAGAGAAGACAGAAGAATAATCATTTTAGAAAGAGAGGCATACTCAAATACTTTTGAAGAAAAGCTTGAAATTTGAGGCATCTAAATCTGTGTGTTTTACCATGATCCGATCGTAGGTATTTTCTTCCTATTTTACTCCATTTTTTGTTTTGACATTATTTTTCTTTTTTTATTTATGTTATTTTGTTTATTTTTATTTACTCTTATTATTTGTTATTTTAAATTGAAAAAAATACATTACTTATTGTTGTGATTTTTTTCTTTATGAGTTTCATTTTAATTATTTACAAAAAAAGTAAAAATAAAAATCTTTTCAATAAATTCATGAATCATTCCAAACTATTGGAGAATTTTTATGGATTTGAATTTTACAAATCCACCAAACTATTGAGAAATTTCATAAAATCAATTTAGAAAAATAAAAAATATTTTTCATCCTCCAAGCGATTGAAGGATTTCAAATATATCTAATAGGTATTTCAAATATATCTAATAGTATATACCAATTTTAATATTTTATCTAATAGGTATTTCAAATATATCTTCATCTCCATGCTCATATATATTTAAAGAGTGTGGGTGATCTTGTAACTGTAACTTTCTAAAAAAATAAAAAACAAATTCTATATTCTGCTTTTTTTTTTTTTAAATTTTCACATTTATGTAATTTTTTATAAAAATATTAATATATATTTTTAAATAGAAATATATTAATTTTAATTCATCTAAAATAATATTCTATTATTTAATAATAGAAATTTATTTACTAAATATAAATATAAGATACGGATACAGAATATGTACTATATTATCCATCTCTATTCTCGTATTTAATAAAAAATTTAAATCATATATATTTCCATCTTTATCCTTTAAATTTAATATCATTATGTTTCCATTAAGGTAAAAAGTCAAGTTTCCTATCAAGAACGCATAAAATTGATATTTCTAAATGGATGAGAGAGATAAGTCAAAAATAGAAAAAGAGTTTAATATAATAGTTTAGATCTATTAAAATCAATCATTAAAAAAATATAAAACTAACAAATTTTACACTGACATAAGTTAATCTTTTATATATATATAATATATGATCATTCTTACAATTAGAGGTATAAATGATACATCTATTGAGTTAAGCTCAAGCTCGAGTAACTCGATTTATCAATCGAGCCAAATTCAAGTATCATAATATCTGATTTAAATAGCTATGAACCTAATCGAGTTTTCTATTTTAATATTTTTTTTACTATTTAATAAAAATTAAAATTTATCCTTTATAATATAAATCCTTAACAACACTATTCATACTCATTTAATATTCTAACATTCATATGGCCTATTTCTATCTATTTCTTTTTCATTCCTACTCTCCCAATCCCTCTCCAAATCCAGGTGTCCCTATCTTTCCTCTTCTAAAGCCCTCTTAGATTCTCAACAACCACCCATTTCCTTTCTTCTTACTCTTTTGAGCTTTCATCTTTAAAATTTTCTTCATTTCCCTATCTGGAGTTCGATTCAACAATCTTTACTTTAGCTAACAATGTCCCTTTTAAGCTAATGGCAATAGTAGCTATTCTCCATCAATGACACCTGGTTTAATTTTAGTAGCATTTCTAGGTAAGGTCTCTAAGTTTTTTTTTTTCTTTCATTTTGAGTTCATTGGCTTGATTTTTGAAATAGGCCCTTAGAAATTGTTGTTCGATTCTATGCTAAAACTTTTCTTAACTACCTTGTTAACTCTTGATTATTTAGATTTAATTTGTTAAGTTTTTTTATAATTAATTTGTTAAATGTAGTTGTCTTGATTAGTTAAATTGGGATTTTGCTATCAATCATGTTAATTTGATTTGTAATTTTGGACTAGATATCAAGATTAATCGAGCTTGAGCTTTATCTCGAGTCGCAGCTTAAGCTTGAAAAATAAAATTTTGTCAAGTTTAAATTGAGTTTTGAGTTTGAAATTTTCAAATTGAGCTCGAGCATAGCATTGTATTAGCTTGACTCGACTCGATTACACCCTTACTTGTAAATGGTTTAAGTAAAGCACAAGTTATGGAAAAACAAGAGAATAATGGATTAATCAACACGCATGCAAAATCTATTTCAATTCTTTTCGACAAACATAACATATGCAAAATCTGATATGATCTTATTATTATTTAAAATTTAAAAGTTATTTTCTTTTGTTTGTCACATTTTTTTCATAATCCAATTCCATTCCAACTTCGCAATCATCAAAAATTTTCATTAAACTCTT